TTTCCAAGTAATGACCCCCCCCCCTTTTACAATAGCCAACACTGTTCTAATGCATATATCGAATACGGAAAGCAAATATTAGAACATAATTTTTTTAGTGGCAATGCAAAGCCTGGAGCCATCTCTCCTGTTGCATGTTAACCAGCAAATATCTTTGTCCGTCTTCAGATGGTTAATGCAGACCTTTTTATACCAGTCAGTTTTTGTTGTAGACTTTAGTTCAGATCATAGTCTGAACTGGGGGGAACTCACCCTAAATCTCAAGTGAGCCTGACCCCCTATTCAACCTGTGAGTTACAAGTACTGAAAGTTTTAATTAAATTGTTTTGGACATGTGTTAAATGTCATTATTCTATTCTATTTAATGGATTTATAGATTTGAAACTTTCAGAATTTGGTTTTGATGTATTTTACTTTCAGTACAAGTTTTGATGACATACAGTATCATAAACAGTGATATAATACTGTAGCAATACAGTGGAGTCTTGACTTAAGAACGGCTTGAGTTAAGAACATTTTGACTTAAGAACCACTCTCATAGAAAAATATTGACTTGACTTAAGTACTTAGATTTGAGTTAAGAACTGAAAAAAAACCACGTGGGAGGCAGGGAAAGTGCAAAATGTGAACTTTCAGTTAACTGTTGGCCAGTGAAAAGGGTGCCTGTCTGCTTCCTCACTCCTCCCAGCGTTTAGAGAGTGGATTGGGAGACAGTCTTCAGGCTGCCTGGTACTGTACTGCCTGGACTGTATTTTCCCTGCCTTCTCTGAACCTTTCTTGACCTAAGAAAAAAAGAAACAAAATATCTCCCTCTAGTGGTCGAAGGCAGAATAGCAGCTTCCCATTAGTTTCTATGGACGGAAAAGAGCAGATACGGATCAAATGGTTTTCAATGCATTCCTATGGGAAATGCAGATTTGACCTGAGAACTTTTTGACTTGAGAACCGCCTTCCAATACGGATTAAGTTCTCAAGTCAAGACCCCACTGTATAACCTTGTCTAGCAGACATATACTCCCTACACTATCACCAAGCCACCATAGCACTTTTTTGCTTTTCTGACCGGCTTTTATACCTGTACAGCTCTCCTCCAACACATTTCAAATGAGTTATTTTTATCCCTGTCCTTCTTCACTGTCTGTCTTTCACATAGTATGGATGATTTGACCTTGGTTTTCAGTGGGACTCTTTTCTAACTCCAACATCTCCTTTTTTCTTTTTTCTTTTCAAAAAGCAAAGGAATCTCTTTCGGAAAACAGGAACACAGCATGTCTATAGAGCTGATTTTCTCTTTCACACATATATGCGGGTATGCCTGATTCTTTTGCTTGTGCTTCCCTGAGCACCAAGACTTTGATTATTGTAAAAAAGATATTCTGTTGTACTTTATAAAGATAAATAATATGCTACTGGGCAGTTGAGACTCTGAATGGATTTCTCCTTTCCAGTGAATTTTTTGCTTTCTGCAAAATGGGTGGCAGAGCAGAAAATGGAATTCAAAAGAGTGTGGTTTGTTTAGGAACTTTCTGGGAAATGGGTATTTTCTTCACCTTGGAAAATATCTTGAGCAAACCCCCTACCCTGTGCAGCCATTTTAGACGATCATGATCAAACTTTCAAAAATTCCACCAAAACAGTTTGGAGATCCCTGACAGATTTGTTAATAGGTGCTTCAAATACAAAGGAATCTCTTTCGGAAAACAGGAACACAGCATGTCTATAGAGCTGATTTTCTCTTTCACACATATATGCGGGTATGCCTGATTCTTTTGCTTGTGCTTCCCTGAGCACCAAGACTTTGATTATTGTAAAAAAGATATTCTGTTGTACTTTATAAAGATAAATAATATGCTACTGGGCAGTTGAGACTCTGAATGGATTTCTCCTTTCCAGTGAATTTTTTGCTTTCTGCAAAATGGGTGGCAGAGCAGAAAATGGAATTCAGAAGAGTGTGGTTTGTTTAGGAACTTTCTGGGAAATGGGTATTTTCTTCACCTTGGAAAATATCTTGAGCAAACCCCCTACCCTGTGCAGCCATTTTAGACGATCATGATCAAACTTTCAAAAATTCCACCAAAACAGTTTGGAGATCCCTGACAGATTTGTTAATAGGTGCTTCAAATACTTGAAGACATGCATGTGCATTCCAACAAGAGCTGAAACATCCTGCCCTAACAGTTGACCTTCAATCACAGTTCCCACGGGTATCAACAGCAACAGTTCCGATTAGGTACATGTAGCTATGTGAAAGGCAAGACATTGTTATTCAAGGGCATGTGCTGTTCAAATATGCTTTTCACTGCCAGTTTTCTGGATGGTTATCAAGGAACACAAGCTTACTCAGATGTAAGCCATACTGATTTCAATGGAACATTCTCCCAGTTAAATCACATACGACTGCAACCTTAATATTCCGGAGTCAGTCAGTTACAATAATTAAGAACATTTTTATTATAATAAATGCATATTTATTATGCTACTAGTCACAAGGATTATTTTTACTTTACATGCATCAAAAAGTAACATGAATATACATGTTTTGAATGCTCTTATTTTAGCATTTCATGTAGGTGCAGCTGAGTAATACTGATATAGCCTTCAAAAGACTTAGGCTGCAACTACACAATCAAATACTGCACGATTTGGAGCAGGTGAAAAATGGATCAATTCACCTTTTCTTTCCTGATCACATGACAAAGGCCACTTAGAAACAGTCCGTTCCTTTTTGCTGGTGACAGTTTTTTTTTCTTTGCTACTCAGTGTTTCTACTTTTCAAAAGCAAGAACAACTAGGACTTTCCCCCCCCATGTGATCAGCTATTTTGTTCTCAAAAGAATGAGTGGCATGACTGTGGATGGTATTCTGGTGATGTACTAAGCTGGGTGTCATGTTTTGGATGGCAGGAACACCCACTCCTGCAGTCTTCCTCCCTTGTTGGAGTATTTTTAAAAAATAAATTGCTTATCACTACACCGATACACTAGTTTAGCACTAGAGCAACCACTCAGAGGTAGCACCCTGGCTTCCCTGCCCCACTTCCTCCAGGCGCTGCATCTGACTGGGCACGCTCCAGAGGAGGTGGAACTGGAAAGTGCTGAACACCTGTTCATCCAAAGGACAAACTGGGGTGAACTGCCATATTGGTGGTTTGTGGCCATCTCTATTTAGCACTAGATCACCTCTGCAGGGACAAAAAGAAAGAGAGAAAAAAAGAGAGATAAAAATCAATGTGAAATAGAAACAACTTTCGACAAATCACTGCACACTATTATGTTTCCATGGTACCTGTTCACCATCTCTATTTTAGATCACCTCTGCAGGGACAAAAAGAAAGAGAGAAAAAAAGAGAGATAAAAATCAATGTGAAATAGAAACAACTTTCGACAAATCACTGCACACTATTATGTTTCCATGCCATGGGTTCACCTATTTGTACACTGTGGAGAACTTCGGAAACTGTCCCTCTTCCCTAGCGCCATGCAACATGTATCTCCCTACAGTATATCACAGAAGTGAGTACACCCCCTCACATTTCATAAATATTTTAGTCTATTTTTTCATGTGACAACACTGAAGAAATGACACTTGGCTACAATGTAAAGCAGTGAGTATACAGCTTAAATGTGCTGTGTAAATGTGCTGTGCCCTCAAAATAATGCAACACACAGCCATTAATGTCTAAACCGCTGGCAACAAAAGTGAGTACACCCCTAAGTCACAATGTCCAAATTGGGCCCAAGTAGCTGTTTTTCCTCCCTGGTGTCACGAGACCCCTTAGTGTCACAAGTCTCAGGTGTGAAGGGAGAGAAGGTGTTATTGCTCTCACTCT